ACCATGTTAGAAATGAAAGGTTAGTAGTGGTCCCTGGTCTCTATTGCTAACATTTTAGGAATCATTATTTTTCCACATTTTCTTTCTTCCTTCCTCAAAAATAATCCCAGTTCTCTTAAACCGTAGTTTTATACCATCTGATTTGCTTTGAACCTTTGAGTGATTTGTGCAAATGACATATTAATAAGCATATTGACAAAAAAATCCAAGAAAGATACAAATTGGAATTAATATATCATTTTTTCAATCCATGCATGTTTAATATGCTTTAATTAAGATATTAACACCTAGCATCTCATTTCCCTCTGATTCCTAGAAAATTTCCTGTAATATTTATAAAACTGAAATTCATTATATATATATATATATATAAATTAGAATATTGTTGTTTTCTGGTTGACAATCTTTTGAAGCATGCTTCCCCTGTTTGAACTTTGAGGTAGAACAACAAAACACTTTAGAGGCACAGTTTATACAATTTGTTCCTGGAGCATCAGTTTTGCTGATATCATTCTGTCATGGAAAAAAAAATATCTATTTTTTTCCTTCTGTAACAATGGCTTCCTTTTGGAAAACACATAGCTCTGTAAATGTGATGAGACCAGTCAGAAAAGCARTGACAGAAAGACTTTAATGTGGGTGGCAACAGTAAGAGAACCATGTCCAGCCCTGYGAACTGAATCAGTGGCAGCTCATGAGATGCCCAGACAGAGCAGCTCATGCCTGAATCTTAAGGAAAGAGCCTTGGAAGGGAGGCTCAGCACCCAGAACAGGGAGGCTCCTTTTCTTGCCAAGCACATATCACCTGCTCGTTTTACATAGCCTTCTCAAATATTACYTGTTTGCTTGAAGCCTGACACTAAACTTAGTTTCATAATAGCATTTATCTATGATAAATCATAGCACTGTGTGTGGCCTTGACATTCTGGGCCCACTCTATCTTCCTGCAAGGACACTAAGTACTGTCTAGTACCCCATGTATTACTGCCTATTACAGGAAGGGTCCTCTCCTGAACTGGTTCACATCCATGCCTTTACTAATTCAAATATCTCTCCATATGGACAAATCTTTCTACTTTTTATTGCCAGATACTGTTTTACACTAAACCAAATTCTAATTTTAACTCTAATACAAATGTTTTCAAAAATATTAAGAATTCACAAAGACCTTTGCTATGATCATCTTACTATAGATACTCATTACTTGAGAAATAAACTTGATTTTTTAAAAGACAAATTCCTTGAAGTTTTGTTAAAAAAGTAAAATGAATTAGCCCTTCCTAGCAGTACTTGCTTAATTCGGAAAGCTAGCTTTTATGTAAAGATGCAGATAAGTAAACTTTGTATTCTTGTATTTAAAAAGCAACAAATACTTTTGAAAATATAAAAATATAAAGGGAAAAATAAATATATTAATAGAGAAGATTGTCTAAAATTAAAAATAKATATTTACTCATTTATCCATAAATATTTACTGAGCTTCTAATATATATTAAGGATTATCCCAAACACTTTATACGTATTATTTCATTTAATCTTCAGGATGATTMCAAAGCTTTTCCATTATTATTTTCAGAGTGCCAAAATCACACGGTTATTAATGGGAAGAGTCAGAATAAGGCTAGTTAAATCAGAAACTGTTTTCATCACTATACCAATAGTCATAGGTATATTTATGTACACATACTGTAAATATGCATAGATGTGTATGTGTATATATATATAATGTAAATARATAGTTTTATAGAGATATYATTTCCATTTGCATTGTGTTACTGATGTTATGGACTACTTTCTTACTTTTATCTGTTATTTATTTATTTTTTTCTGAAAACTATTGAATGTATCCCATCTGTGGCAATTGAGATATTCTTGCCTCACTTTGGAAAAGTCACATTGTGGGGAAATTTAAAGTATAATTSTGGAATCAAGCAATCTGCCTCTGTTGTATTTAATAGCAATGCCATTTTAGGCTGCTTATTTAAATCTCAATTACCTCATGTATAAAATGGTGCCAGTCTCCTACACTCATATTACCACAACATAGCCTGACACAAAGTACATAATTAAAACTAATCTAAATTTTTACTTGGAAATGAGTTATTCRTAATACATAAAAAGGTAAGATGTTTCAGATGGAATTCTGTCTTCTGGAATCCCCTATCACTGACAGCATTTGCATTGCATRTAGAAGCATCCCAATAAATGGATTGGATTAATTGTGTATTCAAAAAAATGACATCTGTTCTGAACAGATTATTCTAGAATTGAAAGTCTTGGGGGATAAAATGACCAAAAAAAAGTAACATTGTGATGTGGAGAGAGGAAAGATTCAGAGTAGCACATGTTACCAATAAACTGGTAGAAGCTCAGGAACCTCAGAGAACACATASCTGCAGAATGCTTCCTGAGGATGGACTCTGGTGTTGGCCATCACACATTTACGGAAGAACACTGTGCAGTGATGTAAAATACAGAACTATGTGCTGAGGACTACAATTTATATACAGTAAATTTAATTTCAGAAAGAAGTTGTAAGAACTCAATAAAAGGAATAAAAGATTTGCCTAAAGTCAGAAAAATCAGAGACAGCCAGGCACAGTGGCACTGGTCTATAATCCCAGCAACTCAGAAGGCAGGAGGATCACAAGTTTTAGTCCAGCCTCAGAAACTTAAGAAGAGATTGTGGAAAGAAAGGAAGGAAGGAAGGAAAGAAGGAAGGAAGGAAGGAAGGAAGGAAGGAAGGAAGGAAGGAAGGAAGGAAGGAAGGAAGGAAGGAAGAAAGGGGATTTGGTTTAGTAGTAAAGCACCAAGTTTGATCCCCAGTACCAAAAATAAATAAAGAAAGAAAGATTTTAAAAATCAGAGAGAGGATGTGAACACCACTAAATTGAAAATAATCATCAAATAAGTCTATCAATACCTATCAACTGTGTTAGTTTCAAAGATGGTAGAACTGGTTAAAATTTACAAAATTCAAAGTGATTTAATTTGAAGTACTATATGCAAATGCTTAGGTCAACGCTGAATTCATTGAAAGCAATAAATAAATTTTTTTCCTATTCTTCTTTAAGGATATGGTGTTTATTTTCAAATCAATTTCATCCATTCCTAATCCATTATTTGAAGACATGTCTTCTATTCTTAGATGTATTTGCTTATAAAATTTCAATATTTTAATAATTTATTTTATGTAACACTCATAATTAATTTATGCTATTCAAATATATGTAATTTTATTTTAAGAACAATTTAACTAATAGATTCTCCTTCACTTCCCATAGGCAAGGCTTATTTTATCCTTTGAAAAACCATTGTTATATGTATTTCAATGAATTCATTTTTATTTAAGAATTATATTGATTCTTAGAAAGGAAATCTCAAAAATATAGTATTATTTCTAATCTATATTGAATACATTTAGAAAAAATTATTCTTCTGATAAAAAATGAACATTTTATGTATTGAGAATATTTTTTCTTTGATGCAAAGAAATGTCTGAAAGATATTTAAACTAAGAATTTTCACATTTTAAATTACTAATAGGATTTTTCCATGTAAGAAGCATACTTCATTATTTCTAGGATTATTTTTTCTATTGTACAGGATAGTAGTATCTCTGCTACATTTATTTATAAAATTTTATATTTCAAATTTATATTAATTACAAATTTGGATGCTAGTCTACAGAAAGGCAACGCAATAGTTATAAGAAAATATGCCCAAATAGCACTTATCTGTTTCTTAGTTCCCAATACCTCATGTGAGAGGGTRAAAACTAAATTATTGATTAATCAGAACTAATCATATGAGCCTCAAATGGCTTGGTGAAGCTGTATTTCTTCATTTTCACTTTCTTTATTGAAATGTAATAAAGTTTTGTAGAATATAATGTTGTGCTTTTTGTTTATTTGTTTTTCCTGGTTACCATACACTTAGAGAATCTCATCACTGCACCRAAAGTAGGGGGCGCTTGAGACAGAAATGCATGCTTTTCTCATACTCTTTGACAGTTTCATTGAGAAAAAATTCACTTGTGCATACAAAGTAGAAGAGTCTCAACCACACTTCTTCCTTGTCAAAATTAAAAACAAAAGACAACGCAACCATGATGACTTTGTGATAGCATTAGGAACCCAGATGGTGCCATCCAGATCTCTGCATCAGCCCTTTTTATAGGATGCTTGACTCCTTCCTCCTGGTATGGCAAATGTATTCTGTTTACACTCAGGTTACCTCTCAACAGGATGATTCACAAATATCTACCCTTATATCGTTACATCCTGATCCTGTTTTCCCAATTCCCAATTTCATGTTGTCAGTTAATTGAGGATACTTGCCGATCAATATGAGGATCTGTTCAAAGGGGAAGATACAGATTCATGAAAGTATCTGCATAGTTAATGCCACATAAAGATATCCAGGATCTTGGGAGATGAAACTGCACTGGGGAGTGAGAGCTGATCTCTGTGAAAAACTTAACAATGTGTTCCAGAGCTGCTGGCTGCCCCTGCAGCCTTTGGTCTGAGTATTCCTGAGGATATAGTCAAAAGAAAATTCTCCAAAGCAGTCTGAAGTAGGGGATGGTGACCACATATAGGTTCAAACTGCAAGGAAACAAGAMAGGCCTTGGACAGAAACCATTTTGCAAATAATCCAGGCAGTTTTGCAGTACAGAAATCATAGAACCTTGAGAGACTTTGAGCCAACTATTCAAGATCTGCTAACAGTGGCTGAGCCTGAGACCCACACCAAGAACAGATCCTGGAGCTGCTGGTACTCCAGCAGTTCCCAGTCATCCTGCTCAATGAGTCCCAGGCCCAAGTGCAAGACCATCACCCAGAGAGTGGGGAAGACCTGGTTGCTGTACTGGAGGATTTAGAGCAGGAGCATGGAGAAACAGGACAAGAGGAGACCCAAACCAGGCAAAGAAATAAAAAATTCCTGTAGAAGGAAAAGCCCATCTGAAAAGAGTGTAAGAGCAGCAGGTCTTGCCCAAGCATGAAGTTCAAAAACCTGAGAAAGAGAAGGGTGAAGATACAAAACTTGAGAATGGGAATCTTGTTTTGGTGACAGACTCCTGTGGAAGATTGGAATCATCTAGGAATATATCTGAACCTATAGAGACTCCTTATGAAGACTCTGATTTGGGAAGGGAACAGGCAAAGCCCAAGGAGAAGACTGACTTCAAATGCTCAGAGTTTAGGGAAGGATTTATCCAGCATTCAGACTTGATTGAAGATACAATTGTACACGTGAGAAAGAAGCTAAGCTCGGTGAATATGAAGAGTGTCAGAGTTCAGCTCTTACTGGACCTCAGAAAATTCTTTCTAGAGAGAAAGGTCATCAGTTCCACAAATGAGGGAAAGTCTTTCAGAGTACTTCACATCTCATCAAACATCAGACAATTCATCTTGGCAAGAAAGCTTATCAGTGCATAGAGCATGGAAAACGGTTTAGCCAGAATGCAGGCCTTTTGGAACATCTCAGAATCCATACTGGAGAGAAACCTTATCTATGTATCCATTGTGCAAAGAACTTTAGGTACAACTTTCACCTTAATCGACACTAGAGATATCAAAGTCTGGAGGAACTCTGTGAGTGTAAGGAATGTGGAAAAACTTTTAGTCAGGCCTTGCTCCTCACATACCATCAGAGAATCCACAGTCACTCCAAAGGCCATCAGTCTAATAAGTGTGGGAAAGCCTTCAGTTTGACCTCACACCTTATTCAACATCACAGGATTCATACTGGAGAAAAGACCTTTCAAATGTAACATATGCCAGAAAGCATTCCAACTTAACCCAACGAGCATATAAGCATCCACAATAAAGAAAAGCCCTATGAGTGTAATGAGTGTGGAGAAGCCTTCCAACAGAAGTCAGGTGTCTTTCATCATCGGAGACATCACGACAAAGGCAAACTAGCTAGAAGAGGTGTTCTCTCCTTGTAGAATATCAGAAAGTATACACTGACAAGCAAACAGCAATTTAGGAGAAGTTATTCTGGCCCACATTAGAATTCTTAGGGGCTAGTTAGAAGCTGTTTGCCTCCATGCCCTATCCTTTGCTTTCATTGAAGTTTGTTTTGGATCCCAATAATTTCACCCTAGACAGTACAGTGAGGTCAGAGTTAACAAAACTGTTCATTAYAAGACTTTCAGAATTTTTAATGTGTTAAATGAATGATCATGTATCGCCAAGAAATAGCCTCATCACTGAATGAGGTCTTTGAAATTAGCAGCAAATCAAATGTTCACTGATTTACAGACTTGTGCTGAACAAGGGCAGGTTGATATTTTTGCAAATGATATAGCAACAGACTCCTATAAAACTAATGATCTTTGGAAGTTAAAAAAAAAGATATCTTGGATCTTAAATTTTGTTGTTGTTGTTGTTTTTATTTTACTCCAAGAAAAAACATTTTAGTAAAACCAATTACGTGAAAGAGAATACATGTTTGTCCTTAATATTGAAGCAGGACTTCTTCATTTAGTAGACTATGATATAGGCAGTTATTTGAAAAGTTTTATTTTTTMATGGGAATTCTAGAATAAAAATAGATCTTTGATTATTTTCTAATTAGATAATAAACATTTTTTGAGTATTTATTTAAAGACTATTTGGTCCTATGATAATGGTGGTTATTGTACAAAACTGGTGTTATTAACCTACTTCCCATGACTCCTTATAAGCTAAAAATAACTTTTATTATGGGAAAAATATGGGCTATTTTGTGACTTATTAAAATCTAAGTCTGTGAGTCATATTCTACCAAGCATTGCATTTTTAGAATCTCATTTAAGAWTGTGCAGCTTTTTTTCCCTTTCCTTTCACCTTGAAAAAAAGGACTTTTTTTTAAAAGAAATCTGATTACATCTATAATTTGAAAGGAAAGACACTTTGCTCTAAAAGATTTTGATAACTTTTTATCCAGAATCAAATAGAGTTTTACACTTAAAAAACTAATTTAAGAGTGAATAGATCAGGAGAACGGCACAGAAAGTTTAAAATATTTGGTTCATCAAGAGGAACTTCTGAAATTAATCTAACTTCACATTTTGAAAATATTTTAATTCCTTTTAAATTTTCCTTTTAAAATGTATTTTTCTCTAAGCAGAAGGGAAAATAACAATCCATAATTTATCTAAAGTCTCTTTATAAATCACAATACCTGGGTGATGTAGATAGTTTATTTGTATCAATTGAATGTAAGAAATGCATCCTAGGTATAAGAAACTCTGTGAAATTGTCTGATTTAAATTTTTGCTTATTTATTAAATATACTAACCTCTAAATTTCTTGTTAATTTCGGTCTTTCCTTCTAAAATGACAGAAAATGTATACTAAGGCTAGACACATACATTTGAATTTTAAACTCTAGGAAAAAAGCATAAGTTGGACCAAAATTTTTTCATTTACCTAATATTTACATTTTACTCATGAAGACTGAAATTTCAAAGTACTGCCACAGGAATATCAATGGCAGGAAACGAACATTGTGGTAGTTTTCAAAAATGTGTAATATGATGAAGTAATATGATGATGCTTTGCTTAAAGTGATATTGAACTATTGKCTATTCAAAGGGAAAAAAATAAAATTTCCTTTTTTTTATGTCACTCTGAAAATAAGTGTTGCAAAGAAATATGTGKTTTTTCACTTCTAGTCTTCTTAGATTTTGCTTCTAGTACATATTATGTGACAACTTCTCAAAGAGAGGACTTAAATAAGTCCTAATTCACAGTAAAATGAGGTACAAAGRCATAATTTTACCTGGAAAAATTACTTATATCTTAAAACCAGAAGCTATATTTCATTCCTTTTCAAATGCAGGCACTTTAAAAAATTTTATATGCTCAAGTTTGATGTCATATTTTCATACATGAGTAGGTAACCAGTTTATAGCTCTTTAAGCCATGGTAACTCATCATGCTAATACATAAGAGTGCTTTCTTGAATTGTCATATATTATTGTAAAACATAATAAAATAATGTTTAATTATAAAGTCCATTGTGTCATAAACCTGATTTCAAATTCTAATTTTTCCCTTTATTTGACTGTATGATGTTAGCAAAATAACATCTCTGAGCTTTAATTTCTTTGCTATGCAGAATGGAAATAATTAAGCATATCTGAGAGGTTAGTAAAAATCAGTAAATAAGTAACTGCAATAAACATAAAGATCTCAGCAAAGTKAAATACAAATAAATATCTCAGCTAAGGATTTGGCACATGTAAGTGTTCAATAAAGGAAATCTAAATTAAATTGCAATAGTACATAAATCTGGGTCTATATCTCCTTAATTTTATTTAATGTGATATTTCAAATTTATTTTGTATAGTATGTTCACAGCCGTGCAACAAATACAGAYTATTGGGCTGGGGATGTGGCTCAAGCGGTAGCGTGCTAGCCTGGCATGCGTGTGGCCCGGGTTCGATCCTCAGCACCACATACAAAAAAAGATGTTGTGTCCGCTGATAACTAAAAAATAAATATTAAAATTCTCTCTCTCTCTCTCTCTCTCTCTCTCTCTCTTTAAAAAAAAACAAATACAGATTATCTAGAGACCTTTAAGAAATTCATGCAACTCAAGCCCAAATTATATCTAATAAATGTACATATGTAAAGAGTGTGATCCAAGAACATAGATGGTTTAAAAAGTCTCACATGTGATTCTTACCTACCTGGTTTTTAAATATTTCAGGACAACTGATCTAAATATGTTTTTCATAGTTGCAAAATGCTATATCACTAAACCTAATACATAAAATCAGTTTCATCATTTCCCACCTGACTTGYTATAGAATTGTGAAGGGATTGGATTCTAGAACTCAGGAAAACCAATTTCTTTGAATACAGATTGCTCTTACATTTTTATTCATACAGTCAATAAAAACTATTGACCATTTTAACATATCCCAGGTACCTTTTCATTCAACTCTGGCAGCCTAGATTAATTGCTTTTCAAGTTGTTTCTCAAAGTCCTAGAATATCTAAACTTTTTCTTTTGCAGTCAGCAAATAAAAAGTAGAGTACTTCAAATGATCCTTCTAACTGAAAACTTGTATATTCAGTAGGATATGGTGGTACATTCCCATAATCCCAGGAACTCCAAAGGTTGAGGCAGAAGTATGAGGAGTTCCAGGCCAGTCTGAGTAATTTAGCAGCTTGATGAGACTCTGTCTCAAAATTACAAAGGAAAAAGACTTGGGATGCAGCTCAGTGGTAAAGCRACCCTCTCAGTTCAATTCCCAATACCAAAAAAAAGCAAACAAATTGTATTTTTAMTATGTAATAAATATATATAATATGAGCAAGTAATAATAAAATAATAAAATATGAGCAAGGAGAGCTACCTACACATAGACAAGAGCCTGGTACAGTTTTCAGCATACGTTACAACCTGGGCCCTGTCSGAATAGCCACACACTTTCTCTGCTTCCTGGAACAAATAGACAGCAGCACAGACAGGGAACACTTTCAACCCTGGCCAGTACTGCATCTAACTCATCCCAATGAACCTGTGAAAATCATTTCTGGTTCCTTTACCACTAACAATGTTTATAAGGAAAATATAAAAGGGTGCCAAGTATTCAGTAATGCTAAATGGAGTGGAGAACACTTCCAATAGTGTTGTAACCTCTCAGATGGTTAAAGCTCAGTCACATAGGATGATGGAAAGTCACATCATTCAGGTAGTTATGTGCCAGCTGACTTCRTACAAATTCTTCATTAACAGAGAAATGTACACCATTTGCAAAAAACTGATCTCACCAGGTTGATATTTGAGCTTTTTTATCTAACCGAGCATTTATTATTTACTCAACTACAAGCAATTGGAAAAACAGGAGAATCAAGAGCAAAATATTTTGCTACAAAATTGTTTGCCTTGATACTTTTAGGAACAAGCTCTGGGCTTTCCAAGAACTCCTTTCAAAACACTTTCTCATGCAGTAAGGMTACAACATTATTAAAGACTTCAGCTCATATGTCAACATCAAATAAAGGGAAGCAGCTGCTTGGAATATGGTGCTGTGGAGGAGAGTAAGGTGGTGTCTAGAATAATCAGGAACAGAATAACTGCCCTGCAAGGATGAAGATGTGTGCTGTGAGCTGGGAAAATAGCTGGATGGTATTAATCTTGCCTGAGAAAATGGCTTGATGGGGTGACACTATCCTATGATATTACAATTATTTTACTGTGCCTGTCACCCATGCGTATAATCTATTTTTGTAGAGGGATCATATTTTATTTATATTTATATCATCAATAGCCAACACATAGCCAAGGCCATATTAGTTATTTAAAGACCTTTTCTAAATGATAATGAGCAAGGATACAATTGGTAATCTGGACAGATGTGTATTCTTTCCCAAAGTAAGATCCAGAATTTTAATATTTGAAAGCTGAACTATAATTCACACTTTTTCACTTAGCAACTCAACCTAGTCTTCTCCCTTCAAGGAACCAGGAGATATTTTTGACATTTTTTCTTCTACACTATGTTTTTGCTAACTAATTTTTTGTGAGTTCCAAATTAAGTATAGATATTATATATAATATATCTGTTTATATAGAAAAATGTGTGTATATCACTAATACCAGTTTATATAATTATTTCATATATATTTTACATGTGTAGTATATATTTTTATATGCAATGTATATATCACTAATAATAGTTTATATGTTTCTCCCGGTAGTTCTATCAGTTTTGGCTTCATGAATTTTGCTGCTGTTTTTAGGGGCATATACATAAACAACAGTTACATCTTCTTAGAAAAATGATGTGTTTGTCATCACATAATGCCCTCTTCATTTCTGATAACTCTTTGATAATATATTTTTCTCTTCTTTAGGATTAAAATCACTACTATGCTATCCTACAATTATAATTTWAGTGTTTTTATTGTGATGATAAAAGAACATAACATGTATAATCCTTTGATA